AAGGGTTCCCCTTTTAAAAGACTCAGCATTTCCTATAAATTTAAATTTTTTTAATTGAAATTTGTGGGATATTAGTGTACAGTAGGATTCTACAAGTATATATTTTTGTTTTCAACTAAGAGGCCTTTTATAATCTAACACCACAGGCTAAAACAGAATTTCTGCAAAATTCAGTGACACCATCTTCTGTGATGCCAGTTGACACTCATTGGTTCTGTAAGAGATCACTTGGTAAATCTACCAGCTGACAATATCAGCAATACCTTGCTGCAGGCATAGTTTGTCATTGTCCTAAATAAAATTTAGCACCCTATAAATGTACATAATATCCTGGATTTCCACAGAGCTGCTGAAAAGAAAGCTGGGTATAGAAATAGAAACAGAAGGGACCTTGGAGTTATTTTGTGCTTGTTCATTCATTCCCGGACATGCTAGAGGTGAGACCACAAGGGTTTGTGTAGAGGTGTAAGATTGTTCTCATGATGCAGGTTCAGAATTTAGAAGATACCCTGCAGAAGGTAAACCTGCAAATGTCCCAGATTAAATCTGACCTACGAGTGACTCAGCAGGAAAAGGAGGCTTTAAAACAAGAAGTGATGTCTTTACATAAGAAACTTCAGAATGCTGGTGACAAGGTAATTTCTTTCTTTATTGAAGTATAAGTTATTTACAGTAAAGCACACAAATTTTATGTGTATATCTCTGTGTGTGTTTGTGTAACCATCACTTAGATCAAAATATAGAACATCTCCAGCACCTAGCTGGCGCTCTTGTGTTCCCTCCAGTTGGTAGCACCAAGGGAACCACTTTAGTACCCTCTGTTTTATATAGGTTAGCAATGCTTGTTTCTGGACTTCATATAAATGGAACCATAATGATAGAAAACAGGTCATTTTTTTTTATATTGAGCAAGTCAGAAGACCATGGCTGAGTTTTGTAGTAATAAAACTCAAAAGTTTTCTTAGTTAAATGATAGTATTCATGTGACCCTAAAAAAGTTAAGAAAAATATTGCAAAAATTTATCTAGGAACACACACAGGCTGCAAAAAAAGTAAAACTTCTGCTGAAAAGGAAAACTATGGCTTAAAACAGTAGTACTGAATTTCAGGAGATAATTCATTGCTACCAAATTGGTTGCTACTGTGGCGCCAGAAAGTCCAGGCAAAGCTGGTTAAGGTGTTAGCTGGCTGACATGTTCTGGTGGTGCTGTAGAAAGTGTCTCCTTTTATCACAATGCTGCTTAATCTGTGTGCAAATAAATTAAGAACAATGTTAGGGATGTTAGTCGTAGGCTAGATGTTAATTAAGACTTTGTCCTACAATAAAAGTAGGCACTAATTCAATTAGTTTATCTCTTGGTGACACTTTTTTAAAAATAAGATAGATTCCATTTTAAAAATTACTTCTGGACTGACATTTTTCTCAAAAAGAGATTGTACCTTTTTTCTTTTTCATATTTATCTTGAAAGGCAAGAGGCTTATTTAGCTGTTACTTTTTTAATTTTTTAAATCATTATCAAGATTCAAAAAAATCACTTTGGTAGCTTAAAGCATATTCCCGAATCCAGGCCTTAATTGTGCAGACAATATGTGCTTTGGATTCTAAAAATGGGTATGATTGCATATGTGCACATGGAAGTAGAGTTTAGCTTGGAAAAGCTTTCACGTTGGCACGGCATCTCAGAGTTCCCTTCGTGTTCTCTATTCATCAAAAGAGTATTTTCTGGGCTTAGTGATAACGTTTTTTTCCCCAACCAGAAACAAAGGGTGGAATTTTGTGGTTTTTGAGACCAACGTCTCACCATGTTGCCCAGGCAATTTTTAAGCCGCCAATCTCCATGCACTCGGGTCCTGTATGGAACTGGGACTTGCCCTACGGTCATATTTGTTACCAGACTTGATGAGGGTATTTTGCCAAAGACCACTGTAAACACAGAATTTTGAAACTTTTTTTTAAAATCAAACTCCAAGAATATTGTTTTATTCATATTTGTATATCCATACACTCACTTTCATTAGAAGACGAAGGTGAAGGTTAAAAGGTACTTACTGAGAATTGTCATTAGGTAAATACGGTACCTTTCTCAAAACAGAAATTACCCGTCAGCTTGTTGTGAGGCTTACTTAATCCGCAATTCTCTCTTAAGAACTGGGCCCCAGAAATAGCCACCCATCCATCAGGGTTCCATAGCCAGCAGAAAAGGCTTTCTTGGGACAAGCTGGATCATCTGATGAATGAAGAACAGCAGCTGCTTTGCAAAGAGAACGAGAGACTCCAAACCGTGGTACAGAACACCAAAGCAGAACTCACACACTCCCGGGAGAAGGTAACTTGAGAAGCTGCATATGGTGGCATATGTTTGAAAATGACTAGTTTGATATGAAAATCAATGCTTGATATGATTGAAATGGTTCTAGCATATGAATTTGAGTATCCTGCTCTGGCAGACTTATTTTAAGAATGTATAATTTATCATTTACTTGCATATAATTTTATACTGATGTTTATAAAATATTTTTCACTTTGTAGGAGCAGTTCTATATTAAAATATATTTGTGATTTTAATCTTCATATCTAAAATATAGGCTCAGGGAAATTATGCTAACCATATAGTCTTTATTCAAATTGGCTGGCCACCAAGACTAGTAGTACAAAAATGGCAAAACTTAGACTCAGAGCTTGTGGATCTAACTAATTCCTTATAAGAGAAAAGGGTTCCCCTTTTAAAAGACTCAGCATTTCCTTTTACAACCACCAAACTGATGCTTGAATTCCTTACCTCTGCTATGTATTCCATCAATGATAGCTAAGCTATGCGCTTCAACACCTCCTTTGATTAGGTGCTCTCTGAAGAGTCCCATGTGTTCCTTTAGAACACCTACTCTTTGCCAGAAACTATCACTGAAGCTGCAGTGGTGAACAAGACAGAGATGGTCCCTATCCTCATGGAACGCAGTTGATGTAAATGCATTCTTTCAGGCGTGAACAGTCCAACACAGAATAGGTGGGACTGTCACCTCAGTCACTCCTAAAGGAATGCTCATGTCAGAACAAAAGTGCCAAGAACTGCTATGTCTGTTTTCTTGGCACCCACATCACACACCTTGTTGACTCCTGGAGATTTTGTAGACCTAGAAGTCCCTTCTTCCCCTTCTTGTCCTTACAGCATTGGGTTTGTAGACCCAACCAGATTTACCTAGAAAGGATCTTTTGAAATCCAAAAAAGGCGGCTTCAAGAATTGACAGGCTTGACTGAAAAAGGAAGTTACAACAGGGCCCAAGTGCTGAATTAAAACTTTCCTTATATTCCTTGTTTATTTTTCTTGGATGGCTGATTGTATTAGCATCTTTTCCTCTTTCATTTGTTCTTGTTAGGTCCGTCAACTGGAATCCAACCTTCTTCCTAAGCACCAAAAACATCTAAACTCATCAGGTACTGTGAAACTCACAGAGCAAGAAAAGTTGAACTTAAAGAGAGAATGTGAACAGTTTCAGAAGGAACGATCTCCTACTAATAGAAAGGTGAGATTTTGAGAGTACACACTGTGTTTCTGGTTTTATAACGTGTCCCTAAGCGTATGTTTCTTCTCATATGTGCTTGTAAGGAAATGATTACAATGGCATGTTTGGATTCTTCTTTATTATCTCTTTATGCTTTTGCACTCTTCTCAAAACAGTATCATAGGCTGGGCACGGTGGCTCACGCCTGTAATCCTAGCTCTCTGGGAGGCCAAGGCGAGCAGATTGTTTGAGCTCAGGAGTTCGAGACCAGCCTGAGCAAGAGTGAGACCCCGTCTCTACTAAAAATAGAAAGAAATTAATCAGACAACTAAAAATATATAGAAAAAAATTAGCCAGGCATGGTGGCGCATGCCTGTAGTCCCAGCTACTCGGGAGGCTGAGGCAGAAGGATCGCTTGAGCCCAGGAGTTTGAGGTTGCTGTGAGCTAGGCTGACGCCACGGCACTCTAGCCCGGGCAACAGAGCAAGACTCTGTCTCAAAAAAAAAAAAAAAAAAACAGTATCATAGTTCTTTCTGATTGAATAATGGTTGAAAAAAAGAACAATTTAAGTTTTCATAAAGACGGTTAATCATTTTCATTAGTATTACAAGCCTTTGTAAGTTAGCAAAATATATATAGCCTGAATATTAGAAACATCTTTATATGGTATTATTTATTGCTATTTAACAAATCCAAACAACAAACATTTTTCATCTCATCCGTGGGTCAGGAATTCAGAATCCACTTAACGGGGTGGTCTGACTCAGGGCTCTCGTGAGGTTGCAGTCCAGATGTTGGCCAGGGCTGTGGTTATCTGAACGCTTTGCTGGGGCAAGAGGATCCACTTTCCAGCCTCACTCATATAACTGTTAGCGAGAGGATTCTGACACTGGCTGGCTGATTGAGACCTCAGCTCCTCATCACCTAGGCCTTTTCTCAGTATGTGGCAGCAAGCTTCACCCAGAGGGAGTGATGAGACGACAAACAGACACTGAGACCAAAAGACCAAGACAGAGCTGTGGTGCCTTTAATAGCAAACCTCAGAAGGGACATACCAACATTTCTGCTGTATTCTGTTTGTCACACAGACTAGCCCTGGTCTAGTGTGGGGAGGAACTATTCAAGAGGATGCATCCCAGGAGGTGGGGGTCATCTCAGAGGCTGGCTACAACATGGTCAGGCCTCTGTAGTGCAGCTTAGTGTGCTTTCTTTACTTTGTCTCAAAAGTTGAGTTCTGGACCGGTGTTATTCTGGGGTTGTTGTTTTGTTACTTATTTTTTTTTCTCTCTTTCTTATTCTAAAGTGAAACTCAGAATTTTCACTATTACCTTCCTCTTCCTAAAAATATAGTTTGTTCATTCTTCCCAGATTTTTAAACAATGTTGCTTTTGTTATAAAATATTCATAACAATTTTTTAAAATTTGATTATCATGACCATTTGCAACAAGAAGGCGGGTTGTGCTCTAAAGCTGAAATGCCATTTAATTTCAGGTACATTCAAGTAAACTTTTTAGAAAGAAAGTGGGTTTCATCTAGCGGTTTGTCAGGAGAAAAGTCTTGTGATAGGTCTTTAAATAATAACGCATTTTAAATGGACCTGGGAAGATTATACTTCTGTTTAACTGAGCTCTTCTTGATAGACGCAAAATTAGCATTCTAGAATAGTGTCATATGTTTTCTACTTAGCAGTATTCTGACTCCCAGTGTCCTCTAACTCATTAGATTCTTCCTGTAGTAAAGAGAATTCCAGAAATGTATACTTATAAAATCCTCAAATTTCATCTTTAAAATTGAGAATGGGCTGGTCATGGTGGCTCATACCTGTAATCCCAGAACTTTGGGAGGCTAAAGCAGGAAGATTGCTTGAGACCAATAGTTCAAGACCAGCCTGGGCAACATAGCAAAATCCCATCTCCACAAAAAGAAAAATAAATTAGCCTGTAATGGTGTGTGCCTGTAGTCCTAGCTATTTAGGAGGCTGGGGTGGGTGGACCACTTGAGCCCAGGAGTTGGAGACTACAGTGAGCTATTATCATGCCACTGTACTCCAGCCTGGGTGACAGAGCAAGACCTTGTCTCTAAAAAAATAAATAAAATAAAGTAGAAAAAGGAGTTGTATATGTACTCTCAATTTTAAACTGTTAACTTTGCATTAAGTCAGTGTTTTTCCCACTGCAGATTCATAGTAGAGGATCATGAAATGAATTTAGTGAAAACCAGCATTTTTTATTAATATACTAGAAAATATCACAGTACATGCATGGTAAGGGTAAATATTATTTCAGAAATATGTACTTATGACTGTGCATATACATGTACATGTGGGTTGTGTACTGTGTTGTAAGATAAAATGTATTTCTTCTAGTGGATGGCATCCAAGTTTAAAAGCCAGCTGCTGCCTTAAGGAATCTGTTCTGTGTGAGGACTGGTGATTAAAACTATCTTACTTAACAGAAGTGATGCACTGAATTGCATTGTTTGTTGTTTTACATGGCTGAATTAACATTGGCTTTCTTCCCAGGGTTGAAATTTCTGACTAGTGTAGATTTGTCAAAGTAAAGTAAAGCAACTCCGGTTTTTTTGTGTGTGTGTTTTTTTTTTAAGGGAATTTTCTGTTTTTTAACAGGTCAATCAGATGAATTCCCTTGAACGAGAATTAGAAACAATTCATTTGGAAAATGAAGGCCTGAAAAAGAAACAAGTAAAACTGGATGAACAGCTCAGGGAGGTAAGTTTTTAAGCAGATGGCCTCAGCTATGAAGAATATTTTAATCCGTGAATGAGCCATTTGTTGAGAGAGACTAGACATGGCATTGAATTCCTGTTGTGAAAATCCAAGTACATTGCCAAGCTGAATTTTTTGGTCTGTCTTACCAAGTTTAACAGGCATTTTTGCTTAATTACCCTGTCATAGAAATCTATACTGCTTTGCAGAGGAAGGAATAATCTTGACCTAAAATGCAAAGATCCGTACTTCAACAAATTCAGGTGGCAGGGACTCTGTCCGATACTGGCCAAGGGGCCCAGAGTTCTCTCACCATCACTGTATTTATGTTTCCCGATACCTTCTATATTTCAGTGTTTTAAAGACATGATTGCTTTCTACAACCTCTTCTGTTAGGAAATCCATGCAGGGAATTTGAGAGCATTAGCATTTAGAAGTTTTATTTTCAAGTGCTCCCATTGTTCAATACTACATTTAAAACTCAGCACTGCCTTGTGATAGGTACATCTGATAATTATAAAATGGATTTGTAAAACTTGTCAGCTTGGGCCAGGCACAGTGGCTCACACCTGTAAGCCTAGCACTTTGGGAGGCCAAGGCAAGAGGATTGCTTAAGGCCAGGAGTTGGAGACCAGCCTGAGCAACAGAGTGAGACCCCATCTCTATAAAACATAGAAAAATTAGCTGGGCATGGTGGCACATGCCTGTCTGTAGTCCCAGCTCCTCCTACTTGGGAGGCTGATGTGGGAGGATCGCTTGAGCTCAGGAATTTGAGGTTGTAGTGAGTGAACTATGATGATGCCACTGCACTCTACCCGGGGCAACAGAGCAAGACTCTGTCTCAAAAAAAAAAAAATCCAAAACTTGTCAGCTTGTATGTTCATTCCAGTCTGCTAGATTGCCTTCTGAATACTGAGTTCAATTATAGGATATAAAACAATTTATGTACAAATCCTCCTTAATAAGTAAAATTTCATCGAGATGCTTTGCTTTGGCTAGATGGAAATATTAGTCAATTAATCCAATGTTTAGTGAACTATAAAATATAGCGTAGAAAATCTCTGCTCTTAAAAAGTACTATATATATATTTTTAAAGCCGGAATTGTAGGAAGAAATGGAGATATTTAAATGTTTTCTTTTATGAAGCTGGACACATGCAAAGGTAACTTTAAAAATCAATGCTTGGTTTTTAAATGTGAATATGGGCAAACAAGTCACACTAACATTTAAATAACCACTGAGGCTTCTGTCAATTTTATGTTCTCTGATTTATCCACTAATGGGGAAATTTGTGAAACTATAAATAGTGAAATCAAACCATTTTTTCTCCTTCTAACAGCATATAATAAATGTATTCAAAACCTTGAGCTTCGGGTTGCACTTAGATGTAGACTTGCTTTTCTGATGAAATAATTATATACTCCAATGAATAAGCTAAGCCCAATGTGTCTAGCAACAAATCGAAAAGTAACAGCGTATACTTAATCACCATTAGAGCCTTGACGGAGGCTAAGTCTAACCCCACCTGTTCTCCCTGGCCTTGGGAGCCCCCTGCTCTCCCAGCCCCATTTTCCATTATTAGCCATTGTACACAACTTCCTCTCATTATTTTTTCCCTGATCATCTGCTAAAAGATGAGGGAAATTGAGTGTTCTTGGCACCGGAGCTTAAGAAGGAAAAGCATGGATTTTCCATTTGAACACTGAAAGGAACATGTCATACACTACTCAAATAAAACTTTCATTAGGAAATAAGACTGAACTATTAACTCTATAGATTCCTACAGATTGGATTGTTTAACAGCTTTGTTGAGATATAATTCACATACTATACAGTTCACACATTTAAAGTGTTCAATTCAGTCTTTTCAGTCTTTTTTGGCGTATTACATTAATTTTTTTAAGCTGGTAAATATATACATACCATAAAATTTACCATTTTTAAGTGTACAATTCAGTGGCATTAATTACATTCACAGTGTTGTACAACCATTACCACTACTTCTAAAACCTTTTCAACACTCCAAACAGAAACTGTTAACCATTAACCACTCCCCCCCTTACAAACTGGATTTTTATTTATATTATGATATCTATAGATTAGGCCAATTTGAAGGATGTACAGTGGTTTTCCCACCATCTTTTGTGCCCAGCTCACCTGAGGGATAGGTACGTTCCTCCTTACTCTGGCAGGGATTCTTACGGGGTTGGGGCACAGGTGGTAGGCAGGCAGGGAGAAGTTCCTGCGTCAGAATCTTTGGGATCAGGAAATTTGAGAAAAGCTTTCTAGGTTATTTTAATCTGACGTATGCACTCCCTTAAAGGAAGGAGTTTCTCCTCATCTCTATATACTAGTTTAGAAGTCACTGATCTAATGCAACACATACTCTACCGCAATGTTATTAAAGACAGCAAATCACTAGACTAGGAAATGGAAAAATTGGGGTTAGAATTTGACTCCCACGCCAGGGCTTTTTCAACTATATGAGGCAATGTTTAATAAATAATTCATTTTGAACATTCAAAAAAAATAATTATAAATTATATTAGCAATTCTCAAGTCTGCTTGAATACCTCTGTGATAGCAAACAGTTCACTTGAACAACAAAAATGTTTTATAGTTCATACTGTGTTCTGCATCTCCTAGTGGCAAGGGATTTAACGTCACATCCATTCCATACTGGACCTGGAATCTTCTAAATAATTGCATTGGGATGGATACAGGTAAAGGTGGCAAGCTCACAAACCAACCAAATTATATAGTAGGTGAGGATGCAATTGTAGAATTAAAGCTATAAGATATTTTAATGTCTGTAAAATTTATAACCAGAAAAATGTAAATGTTGGTCCTTCATATGCTCTTATTCACATATATAATATACCTAATTGGCACTGTTCTTTTTATAACTCATACTTTTCTTCCTCTTTTTATAACTCCTGTAATTTTCTTTTGTTTTTGTTTGTCTGTGGCTAACCTGTACCTAGAACTCAGTGGTTGGAAGTAGCAGAGAAGGGTGCAGTTCTCTGCCTGAGATAGTGTGTGAAGGTAGAACTTTCTCTTTCAATAAACTTTCATAGCATGGAGACATCCCATTACACTCACTATTCATGCAATCATTTCTATTGACTATCACAGTTAGTAAGTACTTAAGGTAAGAGCCAGTATTCATTTTCATTTTGCTTTAACTGCATAATATGTCTCTGTTTATATCAGGATTTTCCTCAGTATTTAAAGCATTATTTACAAAGAGAATTATCCCACTGATACAGAATCGTGGGATCATAATTCCCCATATTTTTGATTCATGAAAAATAAAGTGATGGATTTTCTGAATCTACCACTAGAAGTATTTCAAAATGGGCAGTGGTCTACTTCAAGAAATTTAGATGTAAGGAAATGGATAGTGGCTCTGAAGCTTCATGGTAAGCATTTAATTATAGTTGAGTCTTAGAAGTCCTTTTTCCCGTTCTCACAAGCCTGGAGGTGCTTCTTCCTGAGTTCAGTACTTGGTCAAGTCTGTTGCATGCCTTCAGTTGAGCCCCGAAAGTGAGATGTGAGGAGGCAGGCTTCCCTGGCCAGGGTACAGTGCCCTCTCCTCCCTTTCGTCGCCCCTACTTTGACTGGCATGTTGATACACATACCATTTCCTCATTGTCTTGAGCAAATCTATTCCGTGTACTCCAATTCCTAGATGTTCTAGGATATCATGGCCTTATGCCATGAATTGCCTATCTTACGCTATTTTCAATTGAAGGATATAAGTACACAGTGACCAACTAAGATTAAAATAATTTCAGATGTAAGATCAGATTCTTCAGATTACTAACTTGGGGTTGGAAAATATGTAGTCATTGAACATTTACCTGTAAGAATCTTTATGAATGGTAAATCAAGTGACAAAACCCTAAAGCATAACCACTTTCTACCCTGATTTCCCTACTCTGATCCCAGTTTTTAAAAGAGGTCAATGGTAATTAAATGTTTCAGTGTAAAACAGAATTCAGATATGTTATGTATATCATATATTTCATGTCCTTATAGTCACTCAAGAGTGAGGAAGTTCTACTTTTTAAGTCTACAGCTTTTAAGAAAGCCTGCTCGCTTATTAATTATATCATCTCCTATGCAAAATGGCTCTTCCCCTTTACATCTTTCTCAGGCTCATGTGCTGTCCTGTTTCTAAGTTGTCAGTGGGTGTGAGGCCGTTAATGAATCCCTAGGCTTCATTACTCTCTGCTTGACACCTTCAAGGGAAGCTCTGGGACTGAAGGCACCGCGACTGACTGGGGCTTTGCCCTTGTCCTGCAGATGCAGCACCTGAGGTCCACTGTGATGCTTAGCCCATCCCCTCACGCTTGGGATCTGCAGCTGCTCCAGCAGCAGGCCTGCCCGTTGGTGCCCAGGGAGCAGTTTCTGCAGCTTCAACACCAGCTGCTGCAGGCAGAAAGGATAAACCAGCACCTGCAGGAGGAACTTGAAAACAGGACCTCCGAAACCAACACACCACAGGTATGAAGATCTGTTTTGCCTCTCATAGTAAACTCCACCTAATTGATTTTACCTGTTTGTTTGAAATTTATACCAATTCAAAAGTGGGGGTAAATAACCTAAATCCTCTGACAGTTATACTTTATTGTAAATCCATGGAACTGCAGTGCTTTGTTTTTTTGAAGCGCTACTTTTGATCACCCAGCTTAGAAGCTGAGAGCTCAAGTGTTTTCAGTCTCCTTTGCACGTTTGTAATAGATGATGAAGTATCAGGATCACTTGAGCATAGTGCACCATTGGCCTAATGTTCCCGCCTCATGCCAAAAATGTTACAAAATTCAAGTGTAAGTTTACTAACAAAGCATCCTGAGTTTTCCTGTACCAGAGGGGTGTAGCCTGCCAAGTTCCATGGAATTCAAAAGTGGAAACTTTTCACAACTAATAAAGTAGAATGGGTAGTCGGTGACTTTAGTTAACAGTTCAGGTTTTTAAGTGATCTAGTTGGAAAAACTATTTTTAAGAAAATACTAAAAATAGAAAGAAATTAATTGGACAACTAAAAATACATAGAAAAAATTAGCTGGGCATGGTGGCGCATACCTGTAGTCCTGGTGCATACCAGCTACTCGGGAAGCTGAGGCAGAAGGATCGCTTGAGCCCAGGAGTTTGAGGTTGCTGTGAGCTAGGATGACGCCACGGCACTCTAGCCAAGGCAACACAGTGAGACTCTGTCTCAAAAAAAAAAAAAAAAAGAAAAAGTTCTTCCCATTCTGTTTGAGTTAGCATTCTCTTAGCTCACTACCAGATACAATCTTATGTTATCTAGTTTTCGAACAGTTATTTCTCTTTTGTGCGTCATTCATAATCATCCTTTTTTTTTTAAAGAAGTTTTGGGGCTTGCTCATTTATGTAATTCAGAACTAGGAACAAAGAATCAAAGTATAATACTTCTTTGTGGAATTCTTTCTGGTTTGGATGTGCTGCTTCTGTTTTAGATATGTTGCCTCTCGGTTAGTATTTAATAAGGAATTTCCCCTTTTTTTGATCCCCTCAGGGTACAAAATGGCTTTGTAAAGTCACATTAGCACTGTAACTATATACTAGAGCAGTTGTTTTCTTCTCCTCCTAGTATATATCTATGCTTTGCTATGAAGTACTTCTGTCACCTATTATCTCTAACAATTTTTAAAAGTTTGTCTTATGTGCTTTAAAATCTCTTTTTAGAAGCTTTCTACATACCACTTCAACTTCCCAATATTGAAATTATAAATTCTTAAATTAAGATCGCGATGATAGGGTGTCAGAGGGATGCTTCAATTTTCATGAAATAATTGAACTATAAGACCTTGACCTCAGTTTTTACTGGACCTTCTAAACCAAATGATCTGGCCAAGATTCTACTCAGTGTTCTCTCATACACCTTCTTTTCAAAGGATGCTCTTTCCAGCCCACCAATGTAAAAAATTATCTTTCGACTCCAATTACTTCTGGATTAGATGGACAAAAACTTAAGATTTTTGTATGCCAAAAAAATCGTCCAGCCAGATGACAGGACGGACTACTTGTTACTCTCACTTAGCATGCCACTGCAGGCACTCGAAGCTGACACTAATTTTAATACAGAATGTTCTTAGAATCTGCATGTTGTCTGTGTGTGGAGTGACGTGGTCTCTTCTGCCTTTGTGTTGCTTTGCTTGCATATGTAGTGTTAATGTGTGTGCTTTAAAAAATCGTTTGCATTATAAATGTGTGAATTTAGACTCCCCCCAGAAAACCAATCTTGACACCAGGTGAAGTGTACCACTTGCCTTCTTTCTCTAGGCCTTGCTACCGGAGCAGCGAGCAGTGCACGCAGATTCCTGCAGAAGGATTGGGCACCTGTGAAAACTGGGCTGCTATTGATGGCATTTCTTACCCTGGCAGACACGCAAATGCACACACCCACACATGCACCCGCACCACACAAACAGAGACATAAGCTGAGAAATGTTGGGATCAAGTGCTCTTTTAAATTATTTATTATTCTATTGTTAAGCCTTTGCAGTATTATGTCTCTTATTTATGTAGAAATGACAGATCTTGTGAATCAAATTCACAAACTTCAGCTTGTTACAAATCATTTTATTTATACCATTTAAAGAATGTGGATTTAAGATTCTCGAAAGGATGTATTCTATATTTTCTCATTCCATATGTTGTAACTATTTTTAACAAAAGGTACTCCTACTTTTATATATGGAATTTGGAGAAAATCGGGGTTATTTATACTGTTTTGTATAAGATGTATAAAAGTTTTCGACAGGAAAAGGGAAAATTTTGATGAAGCAATAAAATAAAATTTAAATATATGACTGCCTTTGTTTTTCCTCTTTTCCACTCTTGCCATATTCATGTTCTTTGAATTATCTTTTTTTTTTTTTTTTTTAGGCAACTGGAAACCAGACATTTTTCATTTGTGTTTAAACTTCAAAAAGCTATTCTGTCTTTTAAAATATAGCCCTTTTAAAAGCTAGATGTTCTCAAAGTCTAATTTCTTGAAATTTATTTTCCGCATTAGGCTTTTGCCTACTACAATTTCTATCTAAGTAGTCACATGGTTTGTTTCTTTTATGATTAAGCGTTATTTAATATCCAAACAGATGTTGGCTTTCAAGTAACGTTTGGACATTCTTTTTTTTTAAGTAAGCCTTTAAAGACTATTTTAAGTACCATTAGCCATTAACACCTGAGCTTTGCTTAAACATTTTAAGCACCTTTTGAAATCTGAAATTCCTTACGTATACAGTGTAGGGGGAAGAGGGGGGCAGTCAGTTGCACTCTAATCTCTCCCTAGGTCTCTCTGCTCTCCAAAACCCACTTACTCCTTAACCCATCACTGTTGTGAGAGAAAAAAGGAAGAATGCCATATTGTTTTATCTAGTTTTTATTTGTGGGGAGAAGATTCTTAATTTGCAGTCTGCTCTGTTGATAAACCCATCCTCCAATCCAGATGTTTGCTTCACATTGACAAGTCAAATTAGAAAGCAGATGACTAGAATAACCAGCAAGAAGAGGCTGATTAACTACAAACACTAACACCCTCACAGTAATCAGCCATTTAAAGGGAAAACAGACATGCATATTGCAAGCTGACTGGAAACATTTAGGCAACCCTGAATAAACTCAGTGTTTGTGGAGAGGTCCAAAGTATTGCAGAGACCTAAGTCACAGATGGAAAGTTGATAACCATCTTTTAATTTACTTTGGATACCTGTTTTACTAGAAGAAGTGCACACAGGTATTAAATTATGCATTTTAAGAATTTTGCTTTATCTCAGGAGACAATGGTAACACAGGTAAGATTCTTTTCATTGTTTTTTTAATCTTTGATTCTTTCTCTGATAGGGTTACTTTTGTAACATGTGCAACCCATGCAGGGCTCAAAACTCCCATTTCATCAGAAATTCATCCCTCCTGTTACAAAGGCAAAACATTTGCTGTCCTTGTCTCTCAGTATCTTGTGGGGAAAATAACTGTGGCACGGTTTTCAAATATACTTTTTTAATTTAAAACTTCCTTTCAGGGAAACCAGGAACAACTGGTAACTGTCATGGAGGAACGAATGATCGAAGTTGAACAGAAACTGAAACTGGTGAAAAGGCTTCTTCAGGAGAAAGTGAATCAGCTGAAGGAACAAGTGAGCCTCTCTGGTCATCTCTATCCACCCACCTCACATTCCAGTTTTAACTCCAATTTTACACCGCTTTATTGCCATTAACTGTTAACTTGTGCTGTCTAATAAAGGCAAATTCTATTATAAATGTCTGAAAGAACTTAGGATTCGCTCTCCTCACACCACCCCAAAAGTATGAATTCTGTATCGTACGTTATTTTTTCCAAAGCTCTTTTAAGGCATATGTTTGTCCACAATCAAAAAAATGTATATTTGCTAACAGTGATGCATATAGGCCTAAAGCATTTCTAATCAGGTTCAGCGGCTCAAATTGAATATTCATAGATTTTTTTTCTCCCAAAACAAGAAATGTTCCTATTTAAATAAACAGAAAGTGTTGGTTAAAAAAAAATTAGAGGGTAATAAATAGAACTTTAGCTTTCCTGTTCCCAATAACTTGTGACAACTTGGAAAAGTACATTATTGCTATAGCCAGACCCCAAAAGGATGTGCTTTGAATTAGAGTCTGGACCCCAAATTCCAGGACCACTAAGCATTCTGATCCATTTCACCTGCTGGTGGCAGATGTGGCCTCATTGTTTAGAAATTAGTTGTGCAGTCTGGGCAACATAACAAGACTCCATCTCAAAAAAAAAAAAAACAAAAAAAAAATCAGCCGGGCCTGGTGGCACATGTCTGCAATCCCAGCTACTCTGGAGGCTGAGGCCACATCTGCTTCAGGAGGATTGCTTAAGCCTAGGAGCTCAAGGCTGCAGGGAGTTATGATTGTGCCACTGCACTCCAGCCTGAGCAACAGAATAAGACTCTATCTCTTTTAAAAAAAAAAAAAAAAAGTGGGGGGGTTGCTGTGCACAATGGCTCTTGCCTATAATCCTAGCATTCTGGGAGGCCGAGGCAGGAGGATCACTTGAGCTCAGGAGTTCAAGACCAGCCCGAGCAAGAGTGAGACCCGGTCTCTCTACTGAAAGTAGAAAAATTAGCCAGGCATCACAGCATGTGCCTATAGTCCCAGCTACTCAGGAGGCTGAGGCAGGGGATCGCTTGAGCCCAGGAGTTGGAGGTTGCAGTGAGCTACGATGATGCCACTGCACTCTACCTGGGTCAACAGAGCAAGATGGTCTGGGGGTAGGGGGGAAGGAAATTAGTTGTGCATCCACTACAGAGGCACACAGAGAGTACTACCCTCTAGGAGAGTGTTACAGCTTCTCTGGAAACTGAGATTGAGACAAACTGGTAGAGTGGGGGGCAGAAACTGCCCAGCCTGGTTCTCTAGATATGCAAAATCTAGAATAATTATCTCCAGAGAAGGTCGAAATTCAGATGTAGACAGGAACTTTCCATTGCCCTGTATTTTAATACAGAGGAGAAAGTCCAGTTCAATAAGCATTTATTCACTCATTCCTTTATTCATGCATTCAACATTCATTCATTTTCATTCATTCCTTTATTCATGCATTCAACACATAGTTACTAAGTGCCAGGTCTTGTTCTAGGGACTAGAGATACAGCAGTGAACAACAAAGTCACTGCCCATAGAAAATGCAAAGTCTAGTAAACCTACAATGTGGCCAGCATTTGGCCAGGTGGTGGGTTCAAAAATAAATAAAATAGGGTTTATCCTCTTTTCATTTTCAGTAGAGGGGAACACAAAAGAGTTTAAAGAAAGCTTCCTGGAAGCCTCTGACACCAAATCTTGAAAGCTAAGAGTTGAACAGGTGAAGAAATGTGGGAAGGCTGTGGGAACATCATGGAGTTCTGAGAACACTTGGGGTGTGGACACGCACAGACGCTTAGGCATTACCAGTTCATGCTATCCTGGGAGAGGCAGGAGAAGAGACTACACAGGAGGGGAGGAGCAGGGAAGCAAAGGGCCTGGAGGGATGAGCCAGGGAGCTTGGATTATTCTGTAGGTGATGATGAACCACTGAAAGGCAAAGAGGGAGGAAGGAAAGAAAAGTTGTACTAGGACAGTTCAGTAGAGAGCAGGTTCTGAAAAGTTAGTATGTTACCCCTGCCAGTTACCTAGGATCTGGGCTTTAGGGTGTTATAATCCTTATCATTACCCTTTGAAATGCTAATAAGTTATTTGGCCACTCTTTAGTTGTTCTTTGTTCCCTTAAACCTTTATACTTTTAGATGCCCTGCTTGAAACTGGGTGTAAAATAAGGAGTTAAAAGTGTAATATGGGAAAGGGGCTTGGAAAATATTAATAGGAGCAACAGTAAACATATCCCAAGGCTGCTAACAAGTTCTGCCACCACCCCAACCTAGACTATGTATTCTAACCATAAAGATTAGAATGTACCTTTTAGACAAGGCCCTATGCAAAAATGGAAGAGTTCAAGAAAAGTAACTGCCCAAATCTTGTCTCTTTGTCCTAATAAATGAGCCAAATTTTAAAATAATCAGTAGGCTGTAGGTATGAATGGAAAGTTTAAGCATCTGTTAAGAGCAGAGTTAAGCAGTTCACACCTTATACCTCAGAAGTTATAAAAGTATTTTATATTTTTAGAGAATGAATCAAGGAATGATATCTAACTTAAGTAGAAAAAAACCTTTCATTTTGTAGCCCTCAAATATCAATCTGTTCTTTTTCTTAGTAACTTCTACAAACATCTTATGCAAAGAAATATCTTGGAAAAAGTAGATTTGTTCCACGTATATCCCTGATGCCAAGTTTAATGTTAAAGCTGTATGGTAAAATAAAAGAATATGATTGCTAGACGTGATTTGCTTTTATAAAACAGTCCTTATGTCAGAACTCAAAACTACAAGAATGATAGAAATGGAGTCAAGATGTTTTTGGTTCTGTTTCTAGCTCTGCAAGAATACTAAAGCAGATGCAATGGTGAAGGATTTGTATATTGAAAACGCACAGTTATTGAAAGCTCTGGAAATGACTGAACAGCGACAGAAAACAGCAGAGAAGAAAAATTACCTCCTGGAAGAGAAGATTGCCAGCCTCAGTAACATAGTCAGGAATCTGACACCAGCGCCACTGACTTCTACACCTCCTTTGAGGTCATAGCCAAACCAAAGGATATACTCTTATTTGTGCACTTTACTGAAATAGATGGAACATTTCTGTAGGCTCTCTCAATGTTTTTTTTTTTTTTTAAACCTTTAGTGGCTTAAAATTAAGCCTAACCGAAAACTGCCAGCAACAGAATTGGAGTCTGCATTCATTGTAATTAGTTTTTCTAAATAGACCTTTATGAGAGTTTCAAATAAATATTTACATATGTCACTGTTTAAATTATTCCCAAGATTTAACTTTATTTAAGTGTTCTAACAGCCACCAAGAAGGTGGATATATGAAAACAATTCAAGAACCTTAATATCCCTGTTTTCAGTGAGTTTTTTTAAATCACTATCGCAAATCTGTGTGTAAAGTCCAGATACTTTAGGTTTGAGATGTGATTAGAATGGGTATTAATGAACTTTATTTTAAAACTAAATTTAGGTGTTCTTACACATTTAAATACTGAGAAGTCATTCTGTTTGTAATATTTTGGTTCTTTAAATTAACTGGTAGATTATAATTCTGTTTGATAAGGAGGCTGGCTGGGCTCAATAACCAGTGGGGTCAGAAAAGCCTGTCTGTAGAACTCTACTTTCTAATGCCTGTGACAGTATTCACTCTTTTTGTATGATAGATTTCGAACTGATTTACTCAACTGCACTCAACTAAATGTCAAAGCTTTACTTTCTTCGAACAGCCTTTTCTTCCAGCCCTTAGAAGTTTCATTTGGGAGCTTGGCGTCTAAGAAATGGATAAAGCCACATTATTAAAGCATTTGAACTACAGGGAAAGCACTGAACAAACCACTTTTGTAGTAAACAGCTACTCTTAGAAGAGGGATAAGCAGACCACCTGCGTTTTTGGTCTCTAAGTCTTGGAGTTCATGAATTTATCTTTCTAGTTGCCTCAAGAACTCAGGGAACAATACTTATAAACTGTCTTCCTAAACTACTGTAGGACCTCTCTAAGAATTTGAAATGCATAAACCATGTGACCTCATTTGTCTTATATATTTACAGCCATAGTATTAATAGAATTTTTATTTCTACATTTTTAGTAAGTTTAATCTTCTGGAGGAAAAAAAGCCTTGATTTTAGAGTTAAAAATCTCTTCTAACTTATGGAAGAGCTTAATATAGGTCAAAATTTTCATGCTTCTTACTCCTTCTGTACCTCAAATCTGATCGTAAGAGTTCCTTACTGTGATAAGCACTGGCATGCCCTCTGAGGTAAAGGAGTGCCAAATAGGACTTTCCATTCGTTCTCAAGATCAGAACTTTATAGAATGGTAAACATTTTGATTGGGTAACTTTTTTTCCTCCAATTAAAATCTCTGCCTCTAGTCTACTTCTGCCAGCAGTTGGTGGAGGACTTACTACTAGCAGGGCACTACCAGCGCTCCTCACAGCCACCTACTTGTTTTCATGGGAGAGTACTTAGATCAGAAAAATTACTTGGATGTATTCCTGGAGGGCTAAGCCCATCTACCTACAAGAGATATAACAGCAAAATCAAATACTGCTTTACAGGCAGGAACACAAGATAAAGCAAACTGCCTAAGAATTCATGTTAGAAACTCAATCTCAGCAAAATAATTTCCATCAAGAAACTTTAGAGCACTTTGAGGCCTAACCATCCACTATCAGTCTCACCTGCCAACTCAGAAGTCCTCACCCAAAGAGCCCTGGCAAGGCAGGACTGGGAGTTTACACTGACGAAGCAAATCTTTTAATTTTTGCACAGCTCTTATCAGAAAGTCCTGATTTCCTCTGGAAAAAGAATTTTGATCGTTCCCCGTAATTACACTTCAAAATATTTGAAGTCTGCTATCACGCCTTCCCAAAATCTTTCTTCTCTACTGTAAATATTCCTAGTAAACTCAACTGCTTGTATGACATTAGCTTTAACAGAACATTTTTTTCCACTTAAAACTGTGGGTAGGCTAAGGTCAAAGATAAATTAAGCATCTGTAGTGAACATACATGATATGCTTCAAGTTACGGTCGTTGCCATGGGAGCAGAACAGCAACCGTATTTCTCAGCTGGCTTAGCTTGTAATCACATTTGTTGTATTTTGTATTTTTATTTTTTACATTATGAAAAATG